ATGAAACCCATTATGAGGAAAACAATATTAATAACTATATAATCTTTTCATTCAATTTCAAATGAATTCAAGTTGTTTAGGTATTGCAGTTAGTTCCAAAAATAAATCAAGCAAAAAAACCACAACTTAATAAAGAGTAATTCTTGTAACTTGTTTGTAAATTAGTTAGAGGAAAAGTGGTTAGCAGAGAAGCAGCTGGTTTGAAGTTTGGTTTCTAAAATTATTTGTAAACTGTAACATGCAAATTTACCTTAAGAAATAACCCCAATCAATCATTTGTATATTATTTTAGGGCTTTTTTATCAGAATAAATTTATAATTAATTAAATTATGGAATGTTTCTAGGAATTATCGTGTTTAATCTTTAAATTCTACAAATAAATACTACAAAAACCCCATTCAAATTCTCCGTGTTAATAGGTAAAAAAAACTGCCTGAATCCTAGCTGTTTCCTGCTCTTTTGAATGCAAATTAAGCAAAATACCAGTCGTGTTAGACTCTTGTGAAACGCACTGTAGGCAGGACTATTAAAAGGATAACGAATCCTTGATGTTTGCAAGCAAACAATCATGTGTACGAGTTCTTGTTTACCGTGGATGCATCCAGCAATGCGGCCATACATATTTCAATTGATTTGTTATTGAACGTGAGGGAGGCTTTAGTTTACTCAGTCAGATGTAACTCTTGCTAGCTTGTTTACTTTGTTTTTCCTCAATTTTTCTCATTTTTTTTTGTGATTTTCCACAGCACCAACAACAAACAGCACAGCACACAGCAGTTCCTAGGCGAATCGAAAGTGTTTAAAGCGCGGCAAAAGTCGAAAAGGCGAACGAAATCAAATCGGCGGTCGAAAGGTCGACGGTCGGCAGGTCGCGGTCTGCTCCACCGTTATTTTTTTGTTCATCCGCACTGTGGGACGGCTGCCGACGAACTGAGGCGACAGCCATGCCATCCGCTCGTTTAAAGGACGACGACAACGACGAAGGCTGCCTGCTAGAGAAGCCTGCCAAAACACTCCTCGCCTGATAAGGATAACGACACGAAGATGGGGACTCGGTTAAACCACTCGGGCGTATACACAATGCGACTCACAGGCCTATAAAACTGTGCCGATACGGTTACGGGAAAGGTAATAGAAATATAATATAATGGTATAGCTTTTTAATACTACAAAAAGTTATTAAAAATTCTCATAGTATACCAAATATTTTAAGCAATTTATGCTTCAAATAAAAATGCATCTTTTGTATTCCGAAAAATACAGCATAAATAGTTGGTTCATTCATAATAAGTTCAAAAAATGTAGCACGAAACTGTTAAGCAATATATTTACAAGTTAATTTATGACCTTAACCTCAGGTAATTATTTACCAGGTAATTATTATAGCCCTTAGGCCATGGCTTGTTAGTTTCATTTAGGCATTTAACTTAATTTCAAGGGCAAAACAAACTTGGCTAAAATTGTAAAAATTAGGCGAGAGTTTAATGATCTTTAAAAGACGTATTTATAAAAATTATATAAATTCGTACAATTCTAAAACTTTTAAGTTTGTTATTAAATTTTATGTTAAACCTTTTAACTATTTAGCTAACAAGTAATTAAACATTATTTGTTTAGGTAATCCAATTAAATTTTCAGTTCCCCAAAATCCTATATTTTAGATATCTTAATTAAATCCTAAACCCTTTTGGTTCTTATATCTTAACCGCTGCTGTGCGTATGTATATTTTGTGTTTCTAATAATATGAATGCAAGCGTAGGGCAAATGTCATAAAATATCAGTCAAAAATTTCAAAGTTGACAGTAAATAACCGTTCCGCATAAAAAACAACATATCGTAAATGTTTGTTCAGCCGCACATTTTTTACTTATTAAGAGCTGGGGCCCAAATTAATTTTGAAAACATTTTTTAGTAGGCCAACTATATTTTTTTGATGCAATTACTCAAGTGGCGAAAACTTTTCAATTGCGATTATGTATGTTTTGAACTCGACGAGTGATAAGCATCTCTCCACTCTCTTTTGGCACTCTTTTCTCTTTGGGAGAGCTTTGTGCGCACACTCAAAAGCGCAAAGGTAAACAAACGGAACTTTCATTCATAAAATAGCAACAACGCAGCCGGCAAAAGAGACGGCCGAAGCGAGAGTGAAAGACAGGTGAGAGGGGTAGAGGGGGCCGAGAATTCAAATGGTAATCAAAACAAAATTGAAAAGCTTTCCGCCGCCACATGTGCACATCGCGGTTTTGTGAGTCACTCAGCACGGCCAGTGTCTGCGAATTAATTTCGAGCCGCCCACGGAGAGCACTCGGTTTTAAATCTCATTACCAAATCGCCGTCACGCCTCATTGACGCCAGGTAGCCCGAATATGGCAGGTAAGGTAGTGTTCCGCAAAAGGAATGCCAATAATCGCACGACAATTACAGCTGTAACGTTTCAATCGATTACAAGCTCTGACTGCTATAGCACCCTCTGGGAAAGTAAGCTTATATTAACAGTGCTGTCGCTATGGACTTTTGTTTGTGGAATAAGAGTAAAAATTTTAATTCAGTAATTAAAAGAAAAATGCTAATAAAGCTTCAAGGGGTTTATAAAGGTAAAGTGTTGTCAGAAATATGTGTAATAATTTTAGACTGAGTAGCCACCATCTTATATTAATAAGACATAGAGCAAAGATTTTAAAACATACTTAGCTAAAACTCTTACTAACTGATATTCCATTGGTTTAAATTTAGCATCACTGTTAGCAGTTAACTTGTGTCGCCAGTCAAAAGCTTTCAGTTATGAAGCAGGTACTCTTAGGTTCTTATTCTTTTCTCCTCTCTTAAATATGTCATAAGCAATTAAGAGAGAACTCCAAAACAAATAATGCAATTGTATTGGTGGCAGTTGCATGCCGGTTTTTTGTTCCTCTGCCGGTGATTCATCGGCGACAAATTCCAAAATTAAAGACTCTTACTGAAACTCCACGAAGAATCAAAGAAGAGAGGAGGAGAAGAAGCTGACGAAGAATGTGAAAGAGGGAGCCTAAAGAATGAAGACAGCAACCTCTGGCCTTGATTTGGAAAGAAATTCCATTACATTGCCTTTTCAAGCTTTGAATAATTTGCATTTAAATGCGAAATAAAGCTATAAATGTGTTATATATCGACAGAATTGGAATAGACTCTTTAGATATAGAAACCGATTTTAATTAATAAAAATATTTACAAAATAGGATTTTGTGAAAATGAAACTATACACTTTCTTTGGTCACTGGAACCAGTTGGAAATTTCAGCCACAATGCAAGGCGTAACCAACTTTTTAAAAACTAAAAATTAAGCAATTTAGTAGATTCATTTGAAAATTGAAAAATTAAATACAAATAATCCAAAATTGTCTTCTAATTCACATTGCTATTGTGTTCTTTTCCGGTTTACTTAGCACCCGAGTAAACATACAAAAAAATATACAAACATATATTATATATCTCGTACAAAGTAATATTATAATCGTGTTTACAGACACAATAATGGATCTGTAGGAATCTGTATCTGTATCTGAATCCCGTATGTATTCGCGGCACTCAATGACAGGTCATAAAAAACCTCTCGACGAGGTGTGATGTCATGTCTGTTCCATGTTCTGAAACTTATGATTTATACATCTAAAACTTAATGGTGCATATAAAAAATATAAACGAGCCTAGAACCAGATGCTAAATTTATAGTTCCCACGTTCTCAAGCAGCAGCAAAAAAATTCTATGCATATTGTTTGTTTTATTATCAGAATTGTTTTATATTAAAGAGGCTTTTCCAAAACTTTTGTTTTTTGAATACTCACATACAGTTTTCGTGTTTTTAAAATAAAGTCATGCAAATATTTAGGATATTAATCACACAGAGATTGCAAAATAGGTTTTGAATGAAGCAAGCTAATAATCAGTAGCTTTAAATCTATTTTAAGTTCGAGGACATTAGTCAGAAATTATAAATATTTAATTATTACTGATATTATTTTCCTTTTGTATTTTTATGCAGATTTTTAACATAATAAGAACTAGCATTAAAAACCTTTCAAATTAATTTATTTTTGGCTTAGTTATGAAAGTTTTAAACCTTTAAGGAACACGTGAATACTGTGTAGATTTATATCCAATTCGATCTATAATTTAGTTGCAAACTGCAATTGTATATAAATTTCGGTTTCTCGAAGTTAGTTTCACTACTTGTTTTTTATATATTTTTTAAAATTACTCATGAAATAACAGCCCAATAAATCCAACCATTCCCTGCCTTACTATAATAAGTATCTCTTAGATGTGTTCGGAATCTCAACCGCAGACGAGGCTGCACAGAGTCGCCAATTGTCGCTATCGCTTTGCATTGTTGCCTTCCAATTGATTTGAAATCTCAATCTTAGAGCTATGAGTATTGTGCTCGGGTTGAGTTAATTGAAATGCAGATTATTAACAGTCTCTCCTCAATCAAAGTGCAGGGAATTAATTTAATCAAATCAAAGCTATCGATAGGGAAACTGAGGCAAGGTCAGCCAGCAGTGGGGACGACTTTCAAGGCCCGGGATGCATTATCAGGAAAAGGGGGGAATGCCAGACCTATGAGTATTCCAAATATAAATTAAATCCATTTGGTGACGCAAGAATGAACAACAGTTTCCGGCCTTTACAGCTTTTGTTTTCCCACATTCTGTGGCTTTGTGGCCGCCATGAATAATGCTGCTCAATAATGCTGCTGCGAAGCCACCGAATCGGAGCAGCACCTGATATCGCATTGTAAGGGCGATAACATCGGGGTGATAAGATAACCGGGCGGGGCTGGCGCAGGCGCAGACGCATCTGTGGACGCCAGTAACTGCCAAGAAATTAGTAACCCATTTCGGATCGCACCTGTTATCGGCATTTGCTCGTTATCTTATCGCTGACCGTGTATGCTTAGATTGCAAAAGCTACAAATTCTTGGCGACAATAACGAGAGCCGCAGGTTGACTTTCAGTGATATTTTCAGTTTAGTCGACGAACGACAACGATACGAACACGAATCATTTGTTGTAGTTTCCGCGTGAAAATTACAGAAAAGATTGTGAGTGATTAGAGAGAAAGAGAGAGGGTGCCAGCAAAACAAGTGGAATACTTATAGTATATTTACATATTCCAGCTAAAAAACATCAACAACGAAATCAGCAACTAGTGCAAAATGGTATCCGTGGAGACAGTTGGTTCTATTTTCATCAAGGCCCTGAAGCTGGTAAGCATTAGTTTTCACCCCAATTTTATTTTTCCTTTTCGGAGTTGAGCAATAGCCTCTGTAGTCGCAATAACTTTTTGCCTGATAAGCGCTCGTTTTATCAGCACCACAGGGCGTATTAGCAATATTACTCATACGCAGTGGTGTACAGCAAGGCGTGGCTGAAATGTGATTCATTTTACGGACTATACATGACCTCATTGCATCCTTTTTGGTGTCCTGATTTACAGATCATCAACCTGGTGATCATCTTCCTCTATCGCTGGGGTGATGGTGGCGAGTTCCTGGGCATTGGTGGCACTTGGAACCTGAACGAGGAGAAGAGCGCCGATGCGGAAATTGTGGCCTCGGGCGTTATGGTTGGATTCTTGATCTACACAGGATGTCATACAATTGCCTATGCCTTTGGCACCACCAAGCATAAGGGGTAAGTCTAGGGAGAATCTGATATAGTGACATATAAAAGAGAATTGTGCTCTAAGAACCTGCATTTTAGAGCAACAAATAACCTTGGAAACAGTTGAATTGGTTTCCGGTTTGCTAAGATATATAGTTTTAGCTAACATTAATTCAGCATTTTGTTCTTGAAGAATGCCTTATTAGGTGTAAGCTTTATAATTTGCATCTAATTACAATCTTTCCTCTATTTCAGAGAGCTCTGCGACACCATTATGAACGTGGTTGGCTGCATCATGTGGATCGCCGTGGGCGGAGTTGCTCTGCATTACTGGAAGGGTTACATGTCCGACGAGGGATTCTTGTATGTCAACTCGGAACGCCAAGTGGGCATTGCCATGGGTTCACTGTGCGTCATCGAGGGTGCACTGTATCTGCTGGATACCGTGCTGGCCTGCATACACTATTCGAAGGGCGACACCGACTATACCCAGTAAAAGTGTGACAGCAAATGCGGGGAGGAGAATCGCAATCGCCGAATAATACAACACATCAACATTATTTGTCTTTATACATAGAATCGTTTTAAGTGCAAATTAGTTTATATCCGCAAATCAAGCTACTTTCGTAAGGGTCAAATGTCGTTGTTTAATACACTAACTGTTTAATATTTTCTATTCACGCCCCATAATATTTTTTTGGCAAATACAAATAGTTAAGACCACGCCACGGAAAAGTGCTTTTGTAAAAAAGTTGGAAAGGGATTTTAATGCGGAGAAAAGAGCGAAAAGTTGGAAATGTTTTCTGAATTATAATACCAAAATTCGTTGTACGGATAGATTAGATCAGATTTCTAGATTCCTCATTGATTTCTTTATTGACAACAAAAAATAGGTCAAGAAATGGATTGTGACCAAAATCTTGGGTATATAATCACGACTTATCGCACATAATCGGTAAACAAAACCTTCAGCCAATCTAATATTTGCTTTACAAAGAGGTTACCTTATGGAGCACGCAACTCTAAATATAATGAGTAAATAAATAAACATACTAAGAGGTACGCAAGTTTTTGTTTAAACGACTAAGAAATATAGATATCTATGAAGGTTAAACTGAACAAAATAATGAAACAAGTGAATAACTAAGTAATACAGATACAAATACAAAGACACCACGATCAACCTATATAGGGAATAAATAACCATTCATTTCTAAACACTAAATTTCAACTTCATCAGTAATTTTTGACTAATTACAAAAAATCTGTAGACAAGCAATTTAGAAGACTATTTTTTTTCCAAAAGAAAGGAAAGCGTTTAAGAAGTATGAAATGTTCAATGGTATTTGGTACTTCCGGAGAGAATTAAGGGGTATTTAATGAGACATTGACCATTCCAAGTAATTTTCTGCATTTATCAAAAGACCATCGACTAAAGTCATATAATGATGCGTCATTTTTATGACAGAATCTGATAAGGAAACTCAGGAAGTTACAAATAACAAAAAGGTACCTCTTGAAAAGACTTTTAAAAAATACAAAGAAAACATTTGTTTACAAGCCAAGCTATATGTTTAAAATATGTTTAGTTGAAAACCTAAATTGGTCTTTGTATTGTTTTCATGGGAAACAAAAGGCTTACTAAGTACCAAATGTTCCACTATAATTAAATACCAAATGTGTTATTTAACACAAACCATGAACAATAGGGATTGATCAAGAAGTGTATGAATAATATGATTAACTAAAATAGGAATGCTAAAATAGGGATGCACTTACCTGTTTCCTTGGATTCCCTTGCCCATCCACGGCGTCTCGTTCCCGCTGCTGCTGCTGCTGATGATGATGTCGCATGCTGCCACTCCTGCCCACCCGTTTCGAGCAAAGGGCACACGCTCGTCCCACGGATCCATCCTCCAGATTAAGAGCATCGAAGAGCACCGCCTGATCCAGGATAAAGGAGTTCCGCGTCCGCAGATTCAACAATTCCAACGTTCGCGAATCCAAACTCTCTCGATATACATTGTGCACTCGGTCAAGGTTGTGCTCATAGTCAGTATCCAGGTTGTAGGCACTATTCAAGCTGGCCATGCTGCTCCTTCCCTCCAAGGAGGTTTTGCTTCTGCCCTCCAGCGAGGTTTTGCTGCTCCGCTTCCGACGCCTCACCACCGTCCGGACCGATTCATCCAGTGAGGAACCTAGGGGGACGGGTGTCCGAGGCGAAGCTTCACCCAGTGGCGAGGGCGAATGGGAGTGGGAGTGATGAGCCAGAGCCGAGGGAGGCAGCGGCAATTGAGTGGCGGTGGGCACCGGCTGCTCTGCCAGACTCATCAAGGACTGCTGCCGCTCCAGCTGCTTTTCGTAGCCATTAAACTTGTCGTAGTCGATGAAGGACATGTTGGCATAGCTAACCATGTTGTCGATGGCTTGCAGGGATTGCAGCGAGGCACTCCACTTGGGATTCATCTTCTCCTTCTTCTCCGCCCCGCCACTGCTCCCGGTAAGTCCACTAAAAGTGCTCTTGAACGAGGCAATCAGGGTATTGGATCGCCTTTTCTGAAAGTTCAACTGCGGATTGTTCGCGGGCTCCGTGTGATTGAGGGACAGTAGCGAAGCCTTGCGCTGAACCGGCTGCAGGACCTCCTCCAGTGGGGTAGAGGTAAAGGGTTGGGCGGATTGGCGGCGCTTTGGCGTCCTCACCGAACTCGTGAGTTCCGTTCTTCGCAGGAGCACGGGTGAGTTGTCCTGCAGATCCGCCACCGAGGTCTTGCGCGGTGAGGCCGGCGAGGTGAGATCCCCCGACTTCTCCGTCTCCTCGGACAGCTGCTCCAATTGTGGTTCGATGAAACTCCTTCGATTTGGCCGCCTCATTTGGATCATGGAGCGACTCCGGGTGAACAGAAACGGCGTTCGGCTGGAGTCCAAATCGTCGTCAACCTTTGATATGTTCTCCTTGCTGCCGGTCAGGTGATTGAGGAATTTGGAGAACTTGTTGCGCAGCGAGAAGCTATTGGATCGCTCCATCTTGGGCACACTCTCGTAGCCAGGCAGTGTGGTTGCACCCATGATGAGTCCTTGGTTCCTACGATCCGCCTCGTAGTGTTCACGAAATTTCTGAGCTGTATTAATTGGCGCTGACGTACTGTTTTTGCTATTGTTATTGGGCACTATGTGGCTGTTGTTGTTGTGGTTGATGTTGCTTTGATTATTGTTATTATTGTTGATGTTATTTGGCTGATTATTCTTCACATTCGTCGGCGTTTTGACTTTATTGCCGTTCGGCAGTTGCTGCTGCTGCTGTTGTTTCTTTTTCAGTGTCTTTTTCTGCGCCTTGGTTGCGCTCTTCGTCTCCTTGTTGGAATACATGCCGAAGCCAGCGGACTTCAAACCCCTGCGAAATAATATAAAAAAGTGGAGAGAGTGTGCGAAATTGGCTGTTAATAGACTGATTAAAAATCGGGTAATTCGCGCGTTCAGCTTTTATTTCGACTCACAGCTCGTATCAGCATTACGAAAGCCCCCTACTTTGGCCATACTCGAAATGGCAATATCGATATCGCCGATCAAGTTCTAGATTCTCATGAGTACGCAAGAAATTTGTCAAGAAAATAAACAGAAGTATTGACTGCAAAGACAGCTATGTTTGGGGTTTCCCCCTATGTATGCAGGGATCAACCTTGCATTTTAAAAGATTTCATTCTCGTTATGTAATTATTTATAAAAGAAAATTGGCATGTATTGCATTTCAAAAGATTTAATTGTAGAATATTGTTAGGTATAAAAATAGTTTTGTTATCTTGTGTATAGACATTATCTTTAGTTATAGTTGTATTAATTTGAAGGGTTCTGAAGATGAAAACATTAATCTAATGTTCTGAGATTTTATATCTCGAGTGTTTATGTTACAAATTTGTGTCATTTTGAAGAGTAATGATTATAAAGAAAAAGTGACAGTATGTCGACGGATCCATTATTTAGTATCTTGAGCTTACGAAGAAGTAAGAAGAAATAAATAAATGCTTCATAAGAAATAAATACAATAAAAGGTCTTTTTTATAAAAGCAAATTAATTCCAATTAAATTCTTATTAAAACCAAAGAACCAACTCTGATTAAAGCAATAAATGTTTTCAAGATTCTACGAATACTTTATTATCACCATTAGTAAAAACCCTTTTATAAATAAAGAGTTTTAGCTTCATTTAAGTTGAGAAATAATATTGAAAAATGCTTTCTCTTATGGTAAAAGTATTCTTTATACATTTCTGTAATTTTCTTGGAAACTTTAAATTCTAAAAATACTTGTGATCTATCTTAGTGCTCATCTCGCTTGTCTGGGATCGATTGAGGGGGGCATTTTCCCCCGATATTGGACGTGACAGTGACCTCCGAGACTCTGACTATCTGACTGAGAAGCGGACGGAGTGCTAAACGGCAGAGTGCCAAACGAAACCGATGGACAAGTGCAATCTGTCAATTTATCATCGCCAAAAGGACGGGGACAGGCAGGCAGCGGACTCGTTACATTTGATAAACGCGACCCAATACACCAAGAAACAAAAAGCAAAAAAAAGACGCACATATGTCATGCGTTTGTTTGAGTATCTGTGAGTGTTGGGGGAGCCATTATCTTGAGTACAGTGGATACCGCACAAGCGAAACTTTCACTCCGACAACACGCCGTAATAAGCGTTGCTCGCGACACCAATCAATATGCACTTTATCTACACTTGAAGTAAAATAGATGGCAGAACTGATCTTTTGGTATTTAAAGTTTAAGAAATACATTTTACATTCTTTAATTGATCATTAAGTTTTAACTTTAATAGCCTAGAACTAGTCACTTTTATGTACTAAGTACTAGGTACTTTTTAAAGGGAAAACCAAAGTGGATACTCTTTTCCGAACCCAAGTATTTAAAGTTTAAAGTACAGAAAAGTTTAGCCTTTCGTAATGATACAAGTAATACTACTTTCTCCAATACACAATCCTCTTTTTAGAGTGTACTCTTATGTACATGGACTTGCAGATACGTGGCCCATATAACCAAAGATACACAGCGTTCACTTTGAGATACTTGCAGCAGGCTTCGGCATTGGCATCAGCGTCATTGGCAGTCCGTCTTCTCTATTCGAAACAATTCCAATTTATGACTGACACTCGAACAACTGACAAATGCGGACGACGGCGGGATGGATGAGCTATGTAGCTGCTGAATTCGGGCTAGAAAGGAGGGACGCCACAGTGAAACTGCCTAAATGTTATCGCCAGCAATTTTTATTTCCACACAAAGCTCAAAAAACAACAGTCAACAGCCAGGGGGTGTAGTGATAAGATTTCGAATCGAAATAAAAAAGCCCAGACAAGCAGCACACTTGTCTGAGTTCCCGTCGGTCGGGTTGGTTGGGTTGTGCCAATTTGCTGGTCGGGTTGGCCGATGGTTTTGGTTCCGTTTTACCAACATCGTATCCGAGAGATTGCGGCCGGGGTATGCCGCAATCTTTGTGGCCAGAAATGGAGTGGAACACTGCCTCTGATTGGACAGTGTAATCAATATTTATAGTTGGATGACTTGGCGAGTAGTTCTACACCATTATCCGGACACAAAATCAATGCCCGACTCTCTGATCTTTTCCCTTTTATAGCTTTCTATCTCTGACAGAACTTAGAGGCAAAGGGATCACTTTATTGAAACTTTTATAATACTTCGGCAATAGACCGATGTTATCAACCCATTAAAAATTATACACTTGGTCCCGGGAGCGCTCTTTATCAATGTCAATGCCACTTCAGTGGAACTTCCCGAAAGCAAACAAAAAATTATATTATGATTCATGAGCCGAGGCCAATTATGTTTGAGCTGAGAACTCAATTGAGAAACTTGCCGAAGAGCTTTTGAGTCGTAATTTCGACTATACAATACCTCGAAATTTATTTTATTGTGTGCACATTTATAAGCCAAAGTTAATTATAGCTTGAAGTAAACAGTAAACAAAACTCTTAAGTAACAAAACCATTTTCGTTTGCATTGCTATCAAGAAAAGCAAAAAGATATCAATCATT